AGTGATAGTGTGTTTCTAGCTATGTAGCTTTGTAGCTAGATTTATCTATTGGGTTTTATTTCACCTAGAATTAAGACCTTTACTAGTGTTAACTCACAAACCTCACATCTTGACTCACCAGATCATTTTTTAAGAGTGTCAGGTTTCGTCATCACATCACAGCAAGGTCGACAGTAAAGAATGCTGTCCACGTGGATTTTATAAATCTATACTGAAATACACTGCACTACGGGAAGTGTTCAGAGTACTATCTAAGTTTGTAGACCATTAATTGTTATAATGTTCAGAGTACTATCTAAGTTTGTTGATCATTAATTGTTATAATGTTCAGAGTACTATCTAAATTTGTTGATCATTAATTGTTATAATATTCAGAGTACTATCTAAGTTTGTAGATCATTAATTGTTATAATGTTCAGAGTACTATCTAAGTTTGTAGATCATTAATTGTTATAATATTCAGAGTACTATCTAAGTTTGTAGATCATTAATTGTTATAATGTTCAGAGTACTATCTAAGTTTGTATACCATTTATTGATAATGTTGAAAATACTTTCTGAGTTTGTAGACAATTATATGTTACTTAGTGTTAATTTCCCAAAAGCTACAGTTTTCATTAGTACGTTCGAAAAAACGGATACAATTTACTGTATAAATACGATGCTGCTTTTCTGCACTTTCTTTACAAGTTGACTCCTATTGGGTCAGCGATAAGTTTACGGACGTGCAACGCTAAAATTCGGGGTTCGATTCCCTGCGGCGGACAGAGAGGGGACAGCTCATTATATATATTTGCACTAAGTACACAACGACTTTACTAGTTTCTGTGTTGCTTAAGGCCTTTTTTTACAGTGAGTCGTGATTTTGAGCTCCTTTTTAGCAAGATTTAGATAATATATTAGAGCAAATATTCTCTTTTGTATTGAGACGTATGCGGGTCTGTGATAAATCTATTTAGTGATCTAGGGACAGTTCATATGAAAGAGAGGCCCCTGGTGGTTCAAATGTATGTCTGGAGACTTATAGCGTTAAAAAATCAGGTTTCGATACCCGCGGTGGGCAAAGCACAGATAGCGCAGTGTACATTTGTGCCTAACCAATGAACAAACAAACAAAATGGATACCTCAACCCAGGGAAGCTGAAGTACAAGTGGTTTAACGATTGGATCCTTCTATGTACCACCGTGGAACGAATATTTTGAATTTTTGCTCTACAATTTCACTGACCCTGTGTAAAGATTTGTTGTACGCCTTCTTACTGCTTTGACAGTGGATATTAACGTTGTTAAATATATTAACACTTTCAACCATGTCCATAGTAGGTATTTATTTCACCCACTTAATACTATAAATTTTGCATTGTATTCCGTTCCATTCAACATTATTATAATTTAATTTGCCGACGCCGTGAGAGGGCGCGCCATAAATTTTGGAACACCAAGACAAAATTGTAGGACAGTAATTTTTCGCGACTGATTTTTGACACGTGAGTCGCCATGTCACGTTCTAAGTGTTAGGTTAAAACACTTGGTTTTCAAATTTATTGTACGTTTCACTGATCCACTAAAGCTGTTAAGCGATATTAGATCACATTACAACTGGGAATAGTTTTAATAATATTTCTTTACCAGGCCTATGACGAGTATCTAGTGGTAGTACTTGCGTATGGTGTTTCTCACACCTCCAAATTAGTAGGCATGATCCAGTCAATGAATGCCTCGCCCTCTTTATGGATTGTATCATATCCCCCCGGTACAGCAGTGATCGGACAGTTCAACACGAGATGGTCTTGTGGGGATTCCTGACATGCTGGACATGTAGGGGATTCACGGTAACCCCATTGATACAGGTTGGCGTGACCTGAGCCTGTTTGCCTGTGTCCATTGCTTTCTGGTTAGGTGGTAGAAACCGGGCAGTGGCGGCTCATTGGGGTCTCCAACCCCTGGGAGGGCACTCCCTCCATTCCTCTCTCCAAGCTTCCTTAATGTTGAAGTTTTCTCTCGTTGATTTATAGAAAGGTTTTCTTGATGTTTAGTCTTGAAGTGGTGGGTGCTCTGTCTGTCAAGAATGAGAGTATCTGGTATAAAGGATATAATAGCGTGTTGGACGTCGCTGTTAACTAGGCCTATCACTAGATAATAGTATACATAAAACCTTTTGATAAAAGTTTAGAAAAAATCACCTTTACACTCCAGATAAATATGAAATAATATATTTTTATTTAAACCAACGTTTCACCTTTGCGGCTTCATCAGGTTAATATACATAACTGTTTGATCAGTTTGAAATTTTGAAACCCAAATCCTGTGTTTACAATTATTTTAGATAATCCATAAAAAAAAACTTTCATGAAAACCTTAGTTATTATTCTATACAAATAAACAACGTGGCTGTCAAATACGTCTATGTTCTGATTTTAGAAAGTAGTGAAACGAGTCAACTGATTTTATCAGAACATTGTTTTTGTTCTAACACTTGTTATCTTAATATATATTTCATTAATGAGTTCCATTTCCAATGTTACTGAAACTTAGCATAATAGCATATAGTAAGTACTTATTAATTTTTATTTTTATTATCAGCCAAAATGATTTAAAGGAAGTGAAAAATATACTATTGTCCTATTTATCAAATGTTCTACTGTATCTCTTTGTTTAAAATGTTAAATGGGCAGACAGAAGTGAAGATATATCGTTAAACAGACATATGTACATACTCTTTTTTTTTTTTTAGTAAACTTAATAGAAATTTAACAACAGATTTTTTTTTTACTCCTTCAGTTATGATTACATAAATTATAATTGTTGTTTCCTAGCTGTCGAGTCAAGGATTTTGAGAGTCTTATGCCAAAGCAGCCAGAGAGATTAGAAAACCAGCCAGGTGAGGTTACACTAGAATTTGAAGCTTTCATGTTGGAGAATATGCCAGCTTCTGGGCAACTTTGGATTCACGCCCAGATCAAAGCATGTATAGATCCGGCTGACTGTATAGCGGTAAGTCTTTTGACAGGATGAACCAAAGATTTGAAAAACAAAAGGGGGGGGGGGGTAAATGTTGTAGTTACTTAGGCACGCGTGGTAGTGACATAATACAGTTAACTTCGTGTCTAATCACACCAAGTTAAAGGTGTTTCATGACTTGTTTTAAATGAATTGATGAGCAGCTGCTGGGTTTAATAAAGAGATTCTTGTTCTGTTTAAAACCGTACTACGTCACGAAAAATATGTTTGTTTGTTTTGTGGAATTTCCCTCAAAGCTACTAGAGGGCTTGAACTGATAAGCCTTAGGAAAGACAGCTAATAAACACGGAAGGTCGGATTTATTTAACATTTTGTACAATGTAATAGTTGAGTGACCAATAGAATGGTTTAATACATAGTTTCCAAAGCTCGCCTCTAGTTGACCTTTCATACAATGTAAGGGCTTAGTGACCAATAACTCTATTTGATACTTTCCAAATGCAGCTTTGGGGCTTACACTGAATGTCTAACATCAAGTAAAAATTTTGTACAAACACTTATTACGTCAAAATTGTATGTTAGTACTTGGAAAATATGAAACCAATTTGTGTTGTAATGAAGTTTGGAATAAGGCTCAAGTAGCTTTGATAAGAAATGAAAACAGTTGTGAACGTTTGAAAAACGAGTGTTTGTTTATTTTAGGACTTCTGCTTAGATCTCTTTCAACCATCAGGTCACGGTAAGAAGAAGCGTAGTATTCCCAACGAAACTCAGTATTTTTTAGAATTTCCGCGAATGCCATTGCATCGAAATGTTCCGTTAAAGTCAACAGATGGCACCACATCCGATTCTGCAAACATTGGAGAAAACATTGGCATTACTATTGTAGTTCCTGGAGGTAGGATGCTGTACTTTAATGCTGTTAACAGAATCAATTCGCTTAAATAAAATATGTTATTATTTTTGATTATATTTTGAAATTGTATTAGCTTAACGTTCAATTTATTATTTATTTTTTGTTTGAGTTGAGCATGGCCTAGTGGTTAGTGTACAGGACTGAAGATTAAAAAGTCCAAGATTAAAGCCGCGAGAACGTCACAAATGTAATAGTCTATGTGATTAAAGACAGTCGCATAGACGGCGGGTGCTGCTAACTGGTTCATCTTGGTTAGCATTTTTAAATCAAGAATGGCTATGTCTGAACCTTAGAGATTTCTCTGTTACAAAAAGTGTTGTTCAGGTTGAAAATACCAAACAGTTTTGACGCAGTACAGATTCCTGTTCATCTAACTTAACACTGCTAAATAAACCTTCCTTCATTCCATTTCGGCAGTCCCCAGGTGGGACAGCGATAAGTTTACGGACTTACAACGTTACAACCTAGGGGTTTGTTTGTTTTGAATTTCGCGCAAAGCTACACGAGAGCTATCTGCGCTA